TTCGTCTCTTTCATCTGATAAAGATGACATGGAAGCTTTCAGCTCCTCAATTGCAAGCCCAAATTTCCTTACTTTTTGCACAATTCTTTTAGGGTTTTTTTTATTAAAATTCATTTGTTTTTAATTTACATCCATGCGAGAGACATTTTGTCTAAAACAGAAGAAAGCAAACAGATAGTTTTTTTCAAGTAAAATCATTGGCAGGTCATTCATAACCTTGATTTCCTACACAGGTAAAATACGCCACTTAAAATACTTAAAACTTTATTTTTTTATTTAATTTTTTATTATCTTTCTATAATTTTTTCCTTATGGTGTGTGTATGTTTTGATGATACATTAGCATCATGTAATATTTATTCGTTTGGATGCATGTAAATATGCATTTGGCTTGCTTTATTTTAGTATTTATGCTTATAAATTACTGATGTTGATAACTTCAATGAGTTTTTATTTTTTATTTTTTTTAATTTTCTACAGGTTAACAAGGAATACATGGCCCATTTCGGTTATGATTCAGACTCCAATAGTTCATCATGTAGCGATTGTGAACTTTCATTAACTAAAAAGCTATTGGATGAGCCTTCAGGAGATGACACTCTGGATACAGAAATTAATATGGATTTGATTCAAACATGTCTAGTTCATGTCCCTTTAATTGTTTCGACGATGTTCGTCAAAGAAAAAGATCTTCATGGTGGGTCAACGAGTGAGAGATGCTATATATATCGTGATCGAAAACGACATAATGTAATTGTCAAAGACTATTTTAGTGGTGAGAATTCGAAATACACTCCCGACCAATTTCGTCGTCGTTTTCGAATGACCATCGAATTGTTTGAATGTATTTCAAAAGCAATTCAAAGTTATGACAATTGTTTCACACTACATTGATGCGGTAGGGAAGCCTGGATTAACTCCTTTACAAAAAGTGCTTGCATCAATTCGAATGCTTGCATATGGAGAAACTACTGCGATTGAGAGCTTAAACAGATTTTGTGATGCTATAATTGGTATCTTTGGAAAACGGTATTTAAGGAAACCAATCGAAAATGATATTACAGTGTTGTTGGAAGAGGGAGAAAGACGTGGATTTCCAGGGTTGCTTGGTAGTTTGGATTATATGCATTGGCATTGGAAATATTGTCCCACGGCTTGGCATGGAACACATACTAATGGTTTCAAAAAAGTTCCGACTCTCATTTTAGAGATTGTGGCTTCGCAAAATTTATGGATTTGGCATGCATTTTTTGGAATGGCCGGTACTAATAATGATATTAATGTCTTAGATAGGTCTCCATTGTTTGATAATCTTATTAATGAAAAAGCTCCGTCATGCGACTTCGTAGTGAATGGTCATCATTACAATATGGGGTATTACTTATCAGATAGAATATACCCACAATATGCCACTTTAATTCAAACAATCTCTAGTCCATCTTCAATGAAGGAGAAGTTATTTGCCAAGTGGCAAGAAGCTGCACGAAAGGACGTGGAACGAGCATTTGGCGTTTTGCAAAGTCGGTGGCATATAGTTAAAGGGCCAGCACGTATGTGGAATGCTAAAGATTTGGAGAAAATTATGAAGACGTGCATTATCTTACACAACATGATTATTGAAAATGAAACTAGCCAAGGCATGAATCCGGAGAGTTGGCAGCCATAACAGATTAGGCGACATGAAGTAAATGATAATGTCATTCCAGAGCATGATTTTTCTTATCTCGTGTCAAGGATGACTAGCAGAATGAACGAGATACAAAATAAAAGAGTTCACAGGGAGTTAAAGACCGATCTCATCGACCACTTATGGAACTTACATGGTGGTCAACAAATTGATTGAATAATAATAGTACCTTGAACTCAAAAATATGAATTTACTTTTGTATTTTTAATTTGTTCAATGATTATTTCACTTTTTGTTTTGAAAATATTATTTGATTTGATGGTAACGTGATAAACTGAAGTGTTATATAGTTCTTTGTCATTGAATTTTTTAAGAAGAGGTAAAAAAATATTGAGATTGTTGTTGCTCGTGATATTGTTTGGAGGTGTTGTGGCATGTGAACATATTTAAAATCATACTTTTCACATTGTGTTGCCACTTGACTACTTTGACATAATTGAATATAATGAGAACTTTTCATCAGTTATGTAATATGTTGTGCCTACGTCACTTGTAGTTGCTGCTAGCAACAATAGATTTAATTTTTATTTTTTTTTTTGTCTTCTGTTATTGTTAATTTTTTCCTGTTTTAGTTTCATATACAAACACAAAAAAATGTTCTCCTTTATGAATAAATTTTTGATGAATAAAACTCATTCAGTGCTTCCAATTTGAGTTGCAAATCAAGTGTATAGCAAATTTTCAAGTGTATACTAGTTAGTAATATGCCAGTGGAACAAAAAAGAACAACCATCATTGAAATCTTTGCTCAAAGAAAATGATAGGATCCATTCAAGTCTTACATTTGAACTCTAGTAACCAAGTACATTCAAATAATACATTATTAACTTCAGCTCTTCAACTAAATTCAGTCCAAGTCTTCTCCGCCTCAAATTTCTGAATATAAAAAAAAAATAGAAAAATATATCAAACTTTTTTTAAAAAAAAAAGTTTAATCAAAAGCACATAGTATTATACATGTGAGTTCCCCATATCAGTTTCAAATATATCATATTTTTCCCATTCTTCAAAATCTTGGCTTGCATGACTTCATATGAAGCTCTAGCTACAGGAGTAAGCTTACTTAAATCTTGGTTCATTACCCGTTCTTGGCATTTTCTCCTTTGTTCCTTCATCTTCATTTCCATCTCTCTGTTTAGTGTTTGCCTTTTCAACTGGATATTTTCTTCTTCAATTTTCGTTCTCATCTCCAAAGTTTTTTCATTGATACTAATCTGTTTTGCCATAGTGGACTGCAACTTGCTTAATGCATCCACCACTCCATTTTCATCACGCAACTTTCTCTTCTTTTCTTTACTCTTTTTTCTTCCTGTTGGTCGTCCCACACCATCACCGTTATTACTTCCAGGTGTTATGTTATCATCAATGATATTCAACAAAGATTCTTCAGATGTAGGCGACTTGTTTTCATCACCCGCTTGCGTATCTGGTGCAATGTTCTTATCATGTTTCTGCCATTTTGGATTTTTAATCATTATTTCCCAACAACGAACCCATTTGAATTTTCTACCTTCTATATCCTCGTACATACCCAACGCCTTGTGAATCTACAAACATAATAAATAAAATATGAAAAATGTGACGATAAGTTACAAGAAATTATTTTACGATGAAAACATTTAAAATAACATAATATACTTACCAAGTCTTTTGAGTTTGTACCACTCTGAGGATGCCTCTCTAGTTTAGAATAATGTCCTGCAAAGTTGTTACCGCTGCATGTATTATGGACCAATGGCATTGTAAACTATTAGACGATCTAAGATATTTGCATCTAGGCCCCATGTTTTCCTTCCATACTTGATGGATACGAACCCACATGGCAGTAGCTTTTTGATTGTTACCCACAATAGGGTCCAAGGACACATTCAACCACGCGTTTGCCAAAGCTTCTTCTTCTTCAACACTCGAATCTTTTTTGTCACTTGATGTTTGGACATCTCTAACTTTTTTTTTTTAGTCCTTTTGCTGTTACTTGATTCTAATTGTTGATGCCCGTGGCGTTACCACAAATTTCAGAAGGAACCATTGGAGTGCTAATTGGAATTCGGTTACTACCCAAAGAAGTGTTACCGTGAGTCTGAAAATTGGTCATCGGAGTATAGATAGGACAATGAGCATTGTTACCACCACTTTGATTGATTAACACTGGATTTCTAACCTTTGGCGTGTTCAGCAGGCTTTGGAACGAAGGAGTGGCTCCATAGTGTAGGTCAACATGAGAAGGATACAATCCATTACTTGAATTCAAATGAAAACCTGGAGGATGAGGCTCTTGTGGATCCCTGTCAATCTTTATAAACAAGAAAGATTTCAAAAAAGAATAACAAAACAATATTAATATGATAAAATAGCTACATGCAAGTATGTTATCAAGATAAATTAAAAATGATTTCAAACATTATTTAGAGTTCAACATCAAGAATTTATGCAATGTCTGTAATATATTCTGGATCAAAACACAAAGCTGGCCCTAATCCTTGACTGTTGGGTGAGGACACTAACTTAAGAAAAACAATCATGGAAGGACATTTGATACAACCATTAAAGTTTAATTGCAACAAATCAAGCCTTGCAATTCACTAAACTAGATGCATTCAATTGAAATGTATTCTGATTCCCCTTGTGTACTCTATTAGGACATTTAGAAAAATAAATCATAAATTGAAAATGTAATGGAATTGAAACACTGTATTAACTGTAAATAAGCCAGAGTGGTATCACATAAACAAATGTTCATAGTTTCATTCTCAATGTAGATTTGTTGTAGTATAAATGCTTTTAAGGGCAAGCATAGTTCCTCATAGCTCAGGCCCATAAATATAGATACAATTTTCAGACTTAATGGATATGAAGACAGATGGTAAATACTATTGGCCACATAAAAATCACCAATACATATAAAATTAGTATGCTAAAAAAAGAAGCTAAAAAGGTGGAGCACTATGTAGCATTGGGAGAGATAGTAGATCTGTGAAAAAAATCAATAATTCCCTTCAACAAATTCTACTGGGAAAAAAGAAGGACTCAATTATAGAGTGAGAGAACCACAATAGGATGAAAATCAACCAAAAAGAGAATATAAATCAACAACTTTAGAAACCCAATTTGGACAAGCCGCATGGAGCCAGAATCACTTACCAATTTCCAACAATGGACCAAAAAGGTTGAACCTTGAAGCTAATAGACAAGAACCCAGAAGCTTGGTAGTATTACACTTGTGTAAGTTTTAATATGCAAAAAGTAATGTAGAAACAAAAGGCTGAAAATTAATAAAGCACTAGACAATTAGCAATCAAAAAATGAACATGTAACAAAATTTAACTAATTTTAATAAGAACCAAAGCCATGCCTGTCAATTGAACAAACAGTTGGTGGGCGTACATTAATACACAACTAAACTAACATCACCACTAACCATAGTCCCTCAATTGCATACACAACACACAACACATCAACGAGAAATGGAATCTAAAAGTCATAGGATTAAAGATGCTATTTTTATAAACATTGTTGATATCCGACTTGATTGAGAGATTGAAGATAGAGATTAATCGCTTTATTTACGAGATAATCTTTCAGAAAAAGGGTGGACTTAAGACAAGTCGGTTACAAGGCAGTATTTATTAATTACCGACTTCCGAAGACTGTCAAAGAAACCGACTATCGAAACAAATACAAGTAAACCGACTATCGCAAAGTCAGCTGGAAGCATCTGATTGGACCAACAAAATGAAAAGGCAATCATTGATGTTTCCCACCGCTTAAAATGAAGCAGCTCAACATTAAATGCGTCTTTATCCATTTCGAGCAAGAAGACAAAAATTACTGTACTATAAATAGCAGAATTTATGATAGTACGGGGGCTTCTTCTTTTTTCGTTTTTCAAACACATGTTACATGACAAAATATGATCTCGGTTGACAATAAAAACCGACTTATGTACTCTTGTAACTATATCGAATAAACTTTGCACTTACAATTATTTCAATGATCTCGCATCAACTGTATTTAATTTCCCGTTGTTAAATTCAAGACAACAACAGTTTGGCGCTAGAGGAAGGGCCACCTCCGATCAGTTGATTGTTTGAGCAAATACACATATACCAAGAATGTCAAATTCTGGACGAAATGAACGAAACCCAGAAACTGGAATCAATCGTCACCCAACTCATACAACTGGAAATTCTGTCGTGCCATCTATGTCAATCGATTATTCTGTTTTGTTTCAAGATCCAGAGTTCTTGAAAAATCTAACTGACTTTATGGCACGAACAAGAATAGAACCGACTGCAGCAGCCAATCATCAACCTCATCCTTCACATGTTCTACAAAGAAATGATATTCCTGCAGTGTCACATGCAACTTCTCATCCACGAACACATGAATCACGACGTGACGTTGCAACTCCAAATCGTGGAGTAATTCCTGTACAAACTCATATTCCAGAGGCAGTACGATCTGAAGCAACTGCAGAAAGTCATTCTGGACGTCAACCACGACAACCAGCCCCTTCGTTACCAGAAATATCACAACATAATCAACTGTCTGATTTGCGGCGCACTCTTGAACAAAATCATATTCGCCGTGAGCAAAATGAGTTACGTCGTCTAATTCAAAGAAATCGTTTAAGACGTGAATCTGAGGAGCTGGAAATGTTAAGAAAAAGAGTTGCTGAGCTAAAAACTCGACAAAACAATCATGAGGAATCACGACAACAAATTCCAATGATGGAAGGGATGTATCAAGAGGTTGAGACTCCATTAGCCCCTCATTTGACCAGGGAGCCTCTTCCAACCAAAGTAAAGGTTCCACAGATCGGTTTATATGATGGAACTTCAGATCCTGATGCTCATCTTGGTCAATACACTTCATGGATGGATCTTCATGGAGCAACCGAAGCACTCAGATGTCGGATATTTTCATTAACTTTGGGACCACGAGCTCAAAAGTGGTATCATTCCTTACCCCGATGTTCAATTTCCACATGGCAACAATTGAGAACGGCTTTTCGATCTCATTTTATTGGGGCCCGGGTTTCTTTAATTCCCAAAGAATCAATTGTAAATATCGTACAAAAAGACGATGAGAGTGTAAAAGACTATATTACTCGGTTCAACGAACGCATACAAAATATGGAACAATGTCATCCCGAAACGTTGTTAGTCACAGCCATAGCTGGATTGAAGCCACATTCATTGTTCCGTTGGAGTATTTGTCAGAATAAACCGACTTCGTTTCAAGATTTTCTAGCTCGAGCTCAACAACATATTATAGCTGAAGAATCAATGTCGGTTCCCAATATCGACTTTTCTTTGCCAAAGTCAGAAGTCGGGCAAGAGTCAAAAAAGAAGAAAAACAAGTTCTTCAAGCAGAATAAGTCTCGATTCGGAAATCCTAAAATGCCGGAGGTACAAGAAGCTAGAACCAAATATCTTAATGAAGTCAAATCTAGCTATCAGACGGTATTTTCGGCAGGGGCAGCAACTATATTTGAAGAACTGAAAGGAAAAGGAATTCTTCCCGATCCTCGACCTGTGAGAACCCCGGAAGAAAGACTTGATAAGACAATGCCTTGGTTTACTCTCCGCCCTATTACGTCTTATTGGACACCCTCAAGTTCAAAAGTTTGCTAGAAATGTTGATTATAAACGAAAGGGAAGATTGTTAGACTTACCAGATGACGAAGAAGACGAGGAACGTCCAGTTAACCCAAAACGGGTGAGGCCAAGTGAAAAAGAGGTGTTTATGATGAGCTCAGAAGAAAATAATTCGTTGAAAGATGCTGAGATGATGTACCGAGGAGGATACTTTAATCCTGACAATTCACACCATGTAACTCGGGTCAATAACAGTAGTAATACGTCGTCTGAATCACGGCGGCAAATAAAGGCATATGCTCGAAAGGCTTATAATTCGGGTAAAACTGTTTTGACAACCGACCTCCGAGATAAGATTAACGCTCGAAATAATTGTCCCATAACATTCAATGTGGATGATGCTAGCTACTTCGCTCACCCACATGCTGATCCTCTGGTAATAACGGCATCTATTTGTGGTATACCAGTACACCGCATACTTGTGGATACAGGAGCGTATTCAAGCATCCTAATGTTACGCACATTTGAGCAAATGGGAATTGATCCAACCGAGTTAAAACCCTGCAAAGATCAAGTACAAGGTTTTAATGGCACAATTACATCAACCCTTGGAGAGATCACTATGCCAATTCGGTTTGGAATTCCTGGACAATCCTCGAAAGTCATTATGGAGACATTTAAGGTGATGGATCTTAAAAATCAATATAATGCCATTATTGGAAGAACAGCTTTATATAAACTTCGTGCCGCTGTCTCGATCTTTCATTATGCCTTGAAATTTCCCACCAACCATGGAGAAGGAACTCATTATGGGGACTAATATGAAGCTCGTGGGATGGTATGGGTCAAGCCTTGGCATGAATCATGCGAACCAATGCATATGATGGAGAGTATCAAGAAGCATCAAGAAAACTCAACTCTCGTCAATTCGGAATCACACACTACCGAGATGGACCTTGACTTAACCAAATCAGACAATGATCTAACTTGTGATCGAGGGAAACGTCCAGGAAAAGAACCAATCAAAGAAGAAGATGAACTTGATCCTCGAACTCAATTCAAGGAAAAGAATAAACTTGATCGAGCAGAACCATCTGAAGATGTTGAGACAATTTATGTTGATGATCAGATTTGTAAAAAGCCACTGCAAATTGGGGCCAGTCTCCAAGAACCAATACGTCCAATTCCTTAAAATGAATTCCGATGTATTTGCCTGGAAACATGAAGATATGAAAGGAATTAATCCAAAAATCGCTTCTCACCGACTTAATCTGGATCCAACAATCAAACCAGTGATCCAAAAACGACGTAAACTCGGTCCTGATCGACAAAAAGCACTTGAAGAAGAAGTTCAAAAGTTAATTGATAATAAGTTCATCCAGGAAACAAAATATCCGACTTGGGTATCAAATCCTATTCTGGTGAAAAAGAGTTCCGGTGCATGGTGACTATGCATAGATTTTTCCGACTTAAACAAAGCTTGTCCCAAAGATAGTTATCCATTACCACATATTGACTACATGGTAGATGCCACTGCCGGACACGAATTAATGAGTTTCATGGATGCCTACTCGGGATATAATCAAATTCCCATGGATCCAGAAGAAGCAGAGCATACATCTTTTTATTCAGCCCGAGGATTATATTGTTATACCATGATGCCATTCGGTCTAAAA